GGATTTGCAATCGTCTCGAAATAAATCATCTGGGTATTCGGACGAATCGATTTCTCCACAGCTTCTGCGAAGTTCTTCTCCTTCTCCACATTTAGAAATGTCACTTCCACCCCGAATCGTTTCAAAGTCTCGTTTATAAAAGAAGATGTTCCACTGTAAATTGGACTCATGCAAATCAAATGGGTCCCAGCACCCAAGAACTCCCAGAACACTGCGTTAATCGCTGCGAGACCCGAATTATACAACAGGGAACCGGCGCCTCCTTCAATCTCATTTATCACAACTTCCACGTTTTCCGTCGTCGGATTTCCGCATCTACGGTAGACGAAGTTTGAGCCATGGTTGGGCTCATCAAATTGGGCGATGGTCTTGAAGCGATAAGTTGAGGAATGATAGATAGGGACGACTACTGGGTCAGCGTTGGGGAGTGGTTTGGCGTGGGATGCCAAGATTTTGGTGTCCAAATGGAGTCGGGAGAATCTGTAAAAGGATAAAAAGAGATCTGCGTTCGGGGGGAATCGAACCCCCGTCGAATGCTTGGAAGGCATCCATGCTGACCATTACACCACGAACGCCCACGTTCAACATAAACTAACAAGGTGTACATATCGCGGCGGCTGCCGCCGCGCCAGGCCGCTAATTTATATACGACAAGGCAAAGAATCTTGAAGTGTGCGTTCGTGGTGTAATGGTCAGCATGGATGCCTTCCAAGCATTCGACGGGGGTTCGATTCCCCCCGAACGCAGATCTCTTTTTAGGAAAGGGGTGCAGTAATCTGTTTGGTTAGCTTTCTAAAACTCGGCCGCCGTTGAGCCACCAATCATCCGTTCCAACTTTGAAACGGTTTCAATTAAAATTTTGATTATTTTTTTAATCACTATCAGTGAGTCCTTTTAATACCCACCTCTCTCCAAGACGCTCCTTCGCATCATTGTATCCAACGGGCCAATCGAAATCCTTACTGATGTTGAAATTTGAAAAAAGTAGCATATCAAATCGACCACTCACCTCATTTCGCCTTGTCAACCGAATACTCATAAATTGTCAAAAATGGTCTGATGAATTTTGAGATGAGGAAGAGCGCGCCAGTCCGTCGGGAGGGCGGAGCCTTCGATTTTTATGATGCAGAGTCCAAAAGGACTGTACGGAAAGGAAGATCATAAAGAATACAGCGTACGCGGGGAGCACGTTTTATGGGCCATAATCGCAGTGCATGCGTGATAATCATAAATGCGTTTGCCATCCTATTTTTGAGCTCAATTATCTAGGTTCCTGTAAGAGATATCAAAAATTTGCCAACTGATAAAATGTTTGTCATTTTATCACCAATTAATTGATAAATGTTTTATATCTTTTGCAAAAACCGAGATAATTGAACTCAAAGCCATCGGCCGGTGCGACCGCCTGGCTCAACCTGGTCATATACTTTTGAACTTAATTATCTCGCTTCCTGTAAGAGATATCAAAAATCTGTCAACTGATAAACTGTTGTTTATTTTATGATAAATGTTTTACTAGTGAACAAATTTTTGATACCTTTTATAGGGACCGAGATAATTAAGCTCAAAGCAGATTGTGGAGTACTGTCGTGCGATGAAGAGATGAACAAGGTCGAATGCACCTTATCCTAAAACGTGTCACGTGTCACATTACGATCTGATTGGACATACTCTGTGTGTAGAGAGTTTTCGACGGAAATCATTACAAATGAATGAGCCATTTTAATTGCTCATTGAGGATTCGAAATGGTTTCTTATCAGTTCAATGAAAATTGGTTCTCTTTCCTCTACGTTACAAGAGAATATGTTTTTCTGTTTCATCACTACGAAAAAGGAATTTTATGTCACATGTTTATCAAATTTAGGTTTAACGTGGTAATAATAAGGTCGTATAAAGGATACAGACACATACAACCGAGTGTGGCAACTCACACACACTCGGGAAGGAATCAAGCAATAATATTACATGATAATGGAATTCGGGGAGAAAACGGGAGATCGAAATAAAGAATATTTAGAGATCAAGAGAGAATTTGAGATATAGAACCTGATATGAGAAGTTAGTAACACAAACAAAACAACTAGAAAAGCTATAAATATTACAAGATTATTTCTCTTCGTCATCTGATTCTGCCTGAGACTGTAGACATCCTTGAGCTATTGGAACATCAGTGAGATACCGCTGAAGTCCTGCCGCCGATCTCCATCTTCCTCTGCATTGAATTTCCTCCATTGAATGCCCGATTCTCCTCATGTTGTTGGCTCCTCCTCTTCTGAAGCAGTGATGAGTCGCTCCCGGCTTCCCGATCGCTGCCAGCATCTTCGTCGAGAGCGTCGAAATGGCTTGTTTCGAGAGCTTCTTCGAGCCGTCCAGATGCGAAAAAACGTATGGACACTTTCCTTTGGTCCGGAGTCTCCATCGGCACATCAAGATGTCCGCATCACTGCCTGGCTCGTAGTTGAAGAACGACGATCTTGTCTCAAAGTTGAAGAACGACGATCTAGTCTCAACTGATCATTCTTTGCCTTCATGCACCTCAATCATCCCGCCTTTCTGTGTTACTCCTGCCCACTTGATCTCAGCTGCTTCCGATGCTCTTAGCATGACATTGAACGATAGAATTGCCAGCAACGCGTCTCGATCCCTCTCCTCTCTTCTTTCATTGCCAACATTGTGATCTTCTGCACATCCTCCATAGTCACCTTCACTACTTCTTTCTCCAGCAGGCTTTCCTCTCTTCTCTTTGACTTAATGATGTCTGACACAAAAGACGCTCCGATGGCTGAAATGCCTTCATTTGCTGTTTGATAGGCAGCCGAGATCTTCGCCAAAGCACTACTCCCGATTTGCTTAGCTCTGTCCAACAAGTAAAACAAAAACGACGACTCATCCATTGGAAGCTTCTTCTGAGAAATCCACGAATTTCTCTTGTCGTTCTCTGCCTTGTAAGCGGCAGCTGTGGACGTAGCTTTGGCTTCAAAGGGGATCATCTTGAGTCTCTCGATGTGGTGTCCGAACTCTTCACCTGCCTTCTGCTCGAGTTCTTCGACGAACTGTCTTTTGGCTCCTTCTGAAAATAATAGTTAATCTCTTTTCCCTCTCATTTCTCTCTTTTTCTCTTTTTCTCTTTTCCCCGGGTGGGTGGGCTGGGTGACTCGTTAAAACACGTAGAATGATTTCGAAATTCGAGTTTCATGCCCGTTCGGGCATGATCGCTTCGAGACCCGCGGCGCCTGGAAAGTGTGTGCGCCTTTAATCTCGCGCATCCTTTTTCTCCGATCTTCAACGAAAAACATAATATTCTCTTTCCTCTACGTTACAAGAGAATATGTTTTTCTGTTTCATCACTACGAAAAAGGAATTTTATGTGACATGTTTATTAAATTTAGGTTTAACGTGGTTAATAAGGTAGAAAAATGTACAAAGCCTGGGGCCTATCGAGAGAAGTCAACTAGCGCTAAAATGAACTCAGATCTACAGTATTTAGAATTTATGGCTTCACAATGTTTGGAGGCTTCACCCGGAATAAAAATGTTGTCATTCTTCTCATAAATAATGTAATCTTTAATAGCTCTAATGAATCTTCCCGAATGATCAACAAGGGCCTGATATGACGCGTGACTCCGCCACAATGGAGCTACTAAAACGCCCCTCAGCCTTCTTTTTCTACCCATTTTCAACAAGTGCGGTATCAGCACTGGAGGTGGCACCCACAAAGCACACCCCATCCTCTCTGCCCTCTCGATGTGGTCGAAGACGTTGACGCCAGACGTTCCGAACTCGGGATATCTAGAAAAATATACCTCTGTCTTTCTGTTATTCGCATCAGCGAACCAATCAACTTTTATCTCTCCCACAATCTCTGCGCCTGTCTGAAAACTCTGCCTGCCACTCCCCAGTCATCAAAAAAAAAATTTCTGCTCGCTTCGTCCGCGTCCACGTTCTGTTCTCTTGGAATCCACAAAAATTGGGTTTCTCCTACGCTACTCAAGTCTTCCCACACTTTTTCAGCTAACTTATGCAACTCTGGCTTCATAGAACCTCTTCTCAACACACTCACAGCGGCCTGACTGTCCACAAGTACTTGTATATTTCCATTAACCTTCCCAACTAGCTCCTCTGCCGCTCTCTTCACTGCCGTCACTTCTCTCCAAGCGCTAGACTGTCCTTCAAAGTCGCTATCGCCTAATTCCGACATTTTCCACAAAACATCATCTATATCATTCTTAAGCACCGCTCCTATTCCTCGCGCCGAAGCATCAGTGTACAAAAATAAATCAAATTCTGGCTCAATTTCCACTATGCTTCTCTTCAATAATTCTGTACCTCGCTCTCTCCAAAACTCAATTTCTCTCTCCTCACCTGGAGTTTTCTTCTTCTTCACTGTTGCCGGCTCACTCTTCTTCCTCTGACTCTCTCCAACCGTCTGCATGATCGACCGTGCTCTGCCAACACCAACGTCTCCTGCAACAAGCTCAAATGACTCATGTGTTGGGGTTTATCAGAATGGAAAGGTGTGTCTTGAGGGTCTCATCTTCAATTCCCTTGGTTTTCAGATCGAAATCATTGCAAATCTCGAAGGAAACCGAATCACACCATCCTATTTGGCATTCAATGAAACTGAACGACTTATTGGTGACGCTGCCAAGGATCAAGCGTCTCGTAATCCAGAAAACACAGTTTCCAACGTATCAAAATATTTTTTGATACCTTTTATAGGGACCGAGATAATTAAGCTCAAAGAGATTGTGGAGTACTGTCGTGCGATGAAGAGATGAACAAGGTCGAATGCACCTTATCCTAAAACGTGTCACGTGTCACATTACGATCTGATTGGACATACTCTGTGTGTAGAGAGTTTTCGACGGAAATCATTACAAATGAATGAGCCATTTTAATTGCTCATTGAGGATTCGAAATGGTTTCTTATCAGTTCAATGAAAATTGGTTTTTATTTATGCAAACATTTCTGATGTTTCCTTTTTTCACTTTGATAAGAAAACGAAATGGGAGAAAAAAGAAACGCAAATCTGAATTTCAGTATTTCCGAAGTTTTGAATTTCAGGTTTTTAAATAATTTTTTGAAAATTTTGAATTTTGGAAGTTTTAATTTTTTGAATTTCTAGATTTTCTGATTTTGAAATTTCAAAATTTTTGGATTTTTTTTGAATTTCAAGAATCGAAAAATTTGGAATTTCTGGATTTTTTAAGGTTTTCGAATTTTAGGATTTTCGGAAATTGAGAAATTCAGAATTTACGAATTTTTGGAATTTTTAAGTTTTTGAATTTTCTAAATTCTGAAATTGGTATATTCTGGTTTTTAAATTAAAAAAAATTTTGAATTTCTGGATTTTTTAAAATTCGCATTTCAAAAAAAAATTAAATTCGAGTTGTAAGTTTTTGTATTTTCGAAATTCTTGATTTTTTAAGAATGCGTTTCGGAACTTCTGGATTTCGGAACTTCTGGATTTTTGAATTTCTGAAGTCCTGAATTTCAAAATTTCTGAATATCTAAATTTTTCTACTATTTTTTCCATCCATTTTTTAAAATTTTCTTTTCAGCCGAAAAAAATCACAGTGCCGATAATTAGAAATCTTGTTAAAAAAAATGATAAAAATCAAATTTTCATATTTTTGCAAAAATTCCGAATTAAAAAAAAAAGAGATGAAAATTGTGTGTCGATGTGTGCACGAAATCGATTGATCAGAAAGAGAAAAGGAGATCGAAATATAATTATCTGTGTGGCTTTGGCGGGAAAATCCAAAAATTTGAAAAATGCGATATGGGACAGGAAGGAGAAAGAGAAAAAAATTGTCAATAGAGCGAATTTTCAGAGTGAATAAATGTAAAAATTGGGAAATTTTTTGATGGGGAAAAAGTGGGAAAATTGGCGGAAATTGGAAAAAAAAACTCAATTTTTCAGATTTTTTTCAGAATCTTTTTTCAAATTGCCACCATTTTCTAGAAACAAAAAAAAACAAAAAATTTTAAGCATCAACAGTATTCGAAGTTCCCGGCTCATCTGAGGCTCCGCCCCTCTCCGTCATCGGCTCATCCGGTACCGCCTGTCTCTGCTGCGTTCGCACTTTTCGCTCCTCCACAAAATTGCGAATTTGTTTCAGTGTGAACGCGTCGACGAACGACTGGCCGATGGCGGTGACGAACGATTGAATCGTGCCGCCCATGATGACGTTACAGTAGGCAATGCAGATCAGGAGGACCAGGAATTGAACGGAGAAGACGAGGATGTAGAAGCCGCGCGAGTTTAGGGAGCTCTGAAATATTTGAAAGATTGATTTTGGAGTTTTTTTTAAATTTTGAGTTCGGGAACATTTCGAAATTCCAAAATTCCGAAATTTCAACTGTAATTTTTCTGAATTCCAGTCAATTTTCCTAGAATTTCATTGATAAAATTGAGTTTCCCACCATTGATTTAGCTAAATCCCTCATTTTCAGCTCTCTAGCTCGCAATTCGGTGTTTGCGTACTTTTGAAGCTACAGTAACCCCAGAAAAATGCAGAAATCTTCAAAAACGAGCTGAAAGCTCTAGTTTTTCGGGTTAACACTGAAAATGCATGACATTTCAGCCTAAATCGAAAAATCCAGAACTTTCTAGCTTATTTCTCAAGATTTTTGCATTTTTGGGGGTTACTGTAGCTTCAAAAGTACGCAAACACCGAATGCGAGCTAGAGAGCTGAAAATTGGAGTTTAGACTAATTCAAGGGTGGGAAACTCGATGTTGACACTGAAAATCTCTGAAATTTCACAGATCAGGGCCTCTGAATCGTTGGGATCCTCGGGAACCTTAGGATTCCTCATGATTTAATCCCACTCATTTTACAAGAACTTTCTGAAACTTCCAAGTTTCCAAATTTCCAACATTTTGGGATTTTTCTGCAAATTCTAAACATCGCGAATTAAAAATTACCTGAAGCCGATCCTCAACACCAGTGAGACACAACAACTGCAAATCTCTCTCCAACATGCGATTCACCACATTCGCCATATTTTGACTACGATCCGAAATCGACATTTTCGCCGCGTGATACGCACGGTCGAACGCTTCCAACTCGGCTGGGGATAGCGGTTTTCGAGCGACGACCAGTGTCCGAAGACCCTCTCGTGCCATATTTGAGCATTCCTCGTCGAGCCAATCGTTGTACTGTACCATTCCACTCATCACAGTGTCCGCTCCTTTCATCAGAAGGGTTACCTGAGCAAAAAAAAAACGCAATTTTAAGGTGGTGTTAAATTTGAGCCAATTTATCTGGGTTACTGTGAATGATATCAAAAAGTGATAAACTGATAAAATTTTTCCCAAATATTGATTAATATTTCATCAGTAGACCAATTTTTGATGTCGGTCCCAGGAACTGAGATAAATAGGCTCAAAATCAGGGGGCCTTGGGTCCATTTATACTGAAAAAAGAAACGATTTCTGTGAATTTCAAGTTGTCAAATTTGAGCCAATTTATCTCAGCTCTTATCAGAGATATCAAAAAGTGGTCAACTGATAAAATGTTTATCACATTATCAGCAATATTTTATCAGTTGGCACATTTTTGATATCTCTAATAGTAACCGAGATAAATAGGCTCAAAATTAGGGGATTTGGGTCAATTTATACTGCAAAAAGAAACTATTTTTGTAAATTTCTAATTGTCCACTTTGAGCCAATTTATCTGGATTACTGTGAGAGATATCAAAAAGCGGTCAACTGATAAAATTTTTATCATTTTATCAGAAACAATCTATCAGTTGAGCGTTTTTTGGTAGCTGTCCCAGGAACCTAGATAAACTGGAAAGTTGGGGGACATTTTCGGAATTTTCAGAAATTGTGTTTTTTGAATCTCAATAAATTGTCTTTTTTTTGTCTATTTTCTAACTGGGTTTTCAGTACGACATTTTCCACAAATCGCAATCGCGCTCCACTGGCTTTTGCAATTTGAATTTTGAATGAAGGCATCGCAAAATTTGATGAAAACGCGCTCTGCTGAGAATGCCAACTGTAAAAGAATGTAACCAAGTTTAGGGTCCTAAAATGGTATCTAGAAATTTTTCGATTTGTCTGAAAATTTCAGACTATACTAAACAAAACTAGAGCTACATTTTTGTAGTTGACAACTTTTTTGTAAAATTTGACCCAGAGAAGATATACCAGTTCAATCAGAGCGCACTTGCAGACTGACAATGCCAATTAGGTGTCATTTTTAAACGCCTAAAAAGTTACTTTAAAATTTTTCGATTTGTCTGAAAACTTTCAGAGTTTACTAAACAAAACTAGAGCTACATTTTTGTAGTTGACAACTTTTTTGTAAAATTTGACCCAGAGAAGATATACCAGTTCAATCAGAGCGCACTTGCAGACTGACAATGCCAATTAGGTGTCATTTTTAAACGCCTAAAAAGTTACTTTAAAATTTTTCGATTTGTCTGAAAACTTTCAGAGTTTACTAAACAAAACTAGACCTACATTTTTGTAGTTGACAACTTTTCTCTGATTTCTCATTTAGTCAAGTTAGAAGAGTCTGATTAGAGCTTACTTGTTGCAGTCCTTGAAACTCGTCATCCATGCTGGGTGGTAATGAATCTAATATATCCATTATCAATGTTTCATAGAAAACAACTTGGTGCAAATATCATCGGTGGCTCCTGGACTTTTGAGATTCAGTTTAGAGAAGTTTCTAGAAGTTTCTGGAAATCGGATAATTTCAAAATTCCAACGTTGGCATCGATAACGTCGAGGATATCACTGGAGACTTAAAGAAAGCCTTGAATCAACTGTAACTCTTATTTTCTGTCAATTTCGATAATTTGAAATTTTGAAAAATAATTTTTTTAAAAATCATATTGGAAAATGCAAACTAAAACTTTATTGAAAAAAAGAACAAGTTTAGAAACACAGTAAGAATAAAGAAATCAAAAATTAATTTAAATCCTGAATTTTTGATCTACAAGCCCTTTCGCGCGGGTTCCGTTCTGCCGAGCTCAGCCAATAGTCGTGCTTTTCGAGTGCCCGTTTCACTTGATGCTTCACTTCATCACTTGATGGTATCTCTGTGGTGTACGGCTGTGGTGTACGGCTCGGAAGCGTTTGCTGGGATGTATGCATTACGTGGGTAGAGGGAAGTCGGAGTTTTCCGTGGCGCTGGTGGGATTCCACTTCTTCAACAACAACAACGTGCTCCTTCGGATTCGAAGCTGTGGGAAGCTTTAGAGCGAGTTTAAGGACAATCAACTTATTGCTTGAAGATATATTAACACCTGATTCTCTGAAATCGATCATTTTCTAAATATAAGACTGAAAAAAGAACTACAGCTGAGCCAAGGCTTGCTTCAAGTCTCCAATGATATCCTCGACGTTTTCGATGCCAACACTGTAATTTGAAAATCTAGGATTTCAAAAAAGATTCCAAAAAACTTCTAGAAACTTCTCTCACCTGAATCTCAAAAGTCCTGGAGCCACCGATGGTCCGTTCTCATCCCGAAGAAGTTGTTTGCCATGAGACATTGATAATGGATGCTCGATTAGAGATTCAGTACCACCCAATGATACAGCATGGACGATGAGTTTCAAGGACTGCAACAAGTACGCTCTAATCAAACTTTTTTATCTTGGCTAGATGAAAAAATACAGAGAAGTTGTCAACTACAAAAATGTAGTTCTAGTTTTG